ATCTGCATCATCGTCTCTCCGTGCTTGCGCATCGCTCTCAAGTTTGGCACGAGCCTCTTTCTCCGCCGCGAGCTGTTGTTCAAGGCGAAGAATACGACGCTTGTCTTCTTGTCCTGTATTCGCCGAGTAGCGCCTGGAAGAGATCGAAGAGCGACGGGATAGCTCTTCTTGGGGTCTCGGTGAAGCGACTTCTGCTGTTGGCGTCGCGGGGTCGGTTGGGTCAGGTATACCGAATGAGGGAGGCGCGCCACCTATTGAGAGTCTGTTGGCCGTACTCTGGCGATGTACCAGATCCTCCAATCGTCGCACCCGGCTCCTGTAGCCTTTCAGCTCCTCCTCGAGCTTTGCATTGCCCTCTTTGAGTACACGTAACTCATCATCGCCTCGCATCATAAGCTGAGAGCCTCTGCCGAAAGCTGGCTCATGAACACTACCCATCTTGAAGTTCTTCGCGCGTTTGATCTGCTGCTTTGTAGGTCGGTCAAGATCTTTGATAGCTTGGGCAAATAATTCGGCTTCCGATTGCTGTCCATCCAGTCTCTGCAAGTCCTGGAGGTAATCTTGGAGCTCTTCTCGAGTGACCATCGGCCAGACGGTCTTTTCAGGTTGCACATTCAGCTCGAATCCTAATGAGCCACCTTGCAAGGCTTCGAGGTTTACAACATCTGATATTGGCTTCAGCCATCGCTTGCGCCGACGCTCTTCCTCTTCCTGAAAAGTTGCCATTTCCTCAGCAAGCGAGGATGTATCCTTCTCCATCCTTTCGGTCCACTCCCGTCTTCGGACGGCTTCGACTAGCAGTGTACCGTATACATAAGGCAGCCGACCGACGAGGGAAATGAGCTCAAAGGCAGCGACACCATCGTCTGGGATACTGATTTGCTCAAGTTGCGCACCGACGCTCGCAATGACCGATTCGATGTTTGCGATACCCTGCATGCTCTCGACCGAGTTCCTGATGGCAGCGTTCTTCTGCTCCACCGCCCGTCGCACGAGATCGCTCATCTCCACGCTGTATTCTTGTATGGCCGGTAGAAAGTTTCGCGTATGAAGCAAGGCCATTTTGGACACCTGCGCGACCGACTTCGGGTTTGCTTCTAGCCCCATGACGTGTTCAAAGTCCGACTCGACCTTCTTAACGACGGCATCGATCTCGTTGTACAGGCGCGTGGGCTCTTCGGAATCATCAGCCATGGAACGGCTCTGGCTTTGGCCGACGGCGCTCAGGAGTTGGTTGTAATCTGTCTCGATATTCTCTAGCTGCATGCGCATCTTATCCATGTGTTTGCCAAATGCCTCCCGAACGCGCTTGCTTGTTGATGTAGCCTTTTTGATCGCTTCGACGTCGAGGAACTCTTGGAGGGTCTTGCGGACAAGAGTACTACTGGGAATGCTCTGGGGAGATCTCATCTCCTTGGCCAAGAAGCGCGCGAAGTTCAAGGTAGCAGGCACCGTTCCCAGCTGCTCAAAGTCGGCGTCAAGCCGCCGGATGTTGTCCCCGGCTTCCTTCTCGACCCCATCGTACCATTCCCTTGCTGCCTTGTACTTCTGGTCCAAGCCCTTGATGTGCGCATCGTGGTTCCCGACGGCGACCTGGGTTGCTCTCTCGATGGTGGCTTGTTCGGCAAAGTGCTTCGAGGCGATCTGGGACATGGAGAGCGACCTTTCGAGCAGGCCAAAAGCCCAGTCGCGGCGGGCCTGGAAGAGGGCCTGCCATGCTCCGAGGTCGGTGTTCTTCGCAAGGTGGTTCGGCGCATCGTTGGGTTGGAAGGCATCGGGCAGTGGTGTGGAGGATATGGCAGCCTGCGGGTTGTTGGAGAGTTCGCGACTGAAGACGAATATCTCTTTCTGTGGCACAAGTATTAGTGTGTGTCCTACAAATCCCACAGTAGACGCGTACCTCAGTTAAGAGCGCTTGGAGCTTGACGTGTTTGCCCTGTGTTGTGAGTAAGACCTGTTGCTCGGGCGCTATCTCCGTTGCCTTCGAGATCCAGTGCTTGAGCGCATCGACTGTAGTAAAGGCGACGGGATCAGCGTCGAGGCGCTGGCCCGTATGAGCTACAGCGATCTGTAGCGACATTCGGCCTTGCCCTCCGCTTGGTGGAGTTGTGTCGAAACTGTGCGAGAGCGGATTCGAGGCTTGGAAAGTTGAGGCGTGAGCACATGCGTACCAGATACCGCCAAGGAGGGTTAATGCAGGGATCGGCGCATGGGCCCCGCGAGGCTGCATCATAGCAGTCACCTAGAGGAACCATCGCGTGCCGTCAGGTGAACACGGTCTCGGTCGCAAACTTGAATCTACGTCAACACCGTCTGCTAGCATTATGGCCGCCCAAGGGGATGTTGACATGGCAGACGCGACGACAAAAACACAAGATCCAAGCGACTACGCGGACTTGCTACAAACGAACCATAGCGACGCGTTCGCGTTTTCAGATACCGAGGAGCTAGCCCTACAGCTCTACGATCAGCTCAAGGAACTTGAGCTGCAGCAAAGCCTGCTACAAGCACAACAATCAGGCACGTCTCGCACATGGTATGGCACAGCATCTTCGTATATTAATCGCCTTCTGTAGTACACGCGCATGACTTTGCATCACTTCCAGATGACCTGCTGGAGGAGCGCCTGACTATTGCGCAGCGCGAGGCTATGGAAGCGAGGGCAGAGTACGAGATAAGAAACAAAATCACACACAATGTTCTAGTAATGGATCCCGTTCTGAAAGCCGTTCATGGCGGCGAACAGACTCCATTCGCCGAGAAGTGAGTTCCTGGGCAGATCGCTCTGAATCATGGTCTGATGTTGTGTAGGCGCATACTGCCGCTGGTGACCGAGAACGATGCTGTTTCCATGATCCATGGCTCACTGACGTCGAAGCTTGCTTCTACGAATAAATCTCTGAGTGTGGCCGAACAGAACAACATTGTCGCAAATCAAAAGAACCGAGAGCTTGCGCAGACCATGCTTGCTCTGGCCGAAGAAATGAAGGCGCAGTCGGTGCAGGACATTGAAGATCCGCAATTACGTCAACGCGTCGATGCGGTCGATAAGGAGCTCAAGGACTCGCGACGGAGGGTGAGGACGTTGAAAGGTATATTGTCAGCCATGATCGTGGGTAGCGGGATCAACTGGGCTGCGGACGAGGGTCTGACAGAGCTCGTCATGGAGGATGAGGACGATTGAGTGCCATCCATCCATTCGTCTGCTGCTGCGACTGTGGATGGATGCGAGCTGTATCTGAGAGCAGCCGTATGTACACATTTAATGACTTGTTGAGGCGGTTGCATGCTGCTGCACGATCTTGCGCTTCGTGATGTTTGTTGATGATAAACGTCATGGCTGATGCGAGAGCGGTGATGCCCAACGTCGTGCGTCCTATTTACATAGATGCAGATGGAACTTCTTCAGTAAGATGAGGGCCTGACAGCTATGGGTCACGTCGGGAGGGTACGCGAAAGTCTGTAGCCCTCGGTGGCTTTTGAAAGGGCGAGTCTGAGCGTCTGCTCCGCTGTTAGGGGCTTGAGAGGCCGATGGCCGAACACGTCCGCCACGATTCCAACGTGATAAGCAGCCAGGGGGAACAAAGAGTGTTTCTTGAGGCAAGTGGACGAGCAGTATTGTAGCAGTGTCTCGCATTAGCCTAGCGACCGCTTCCGTGCTCGGTCGGGCGAAAGTGCAGAGCCAGACCGCTGTGGCCGGAAGCGGGTGCAGAGGCCGCCGCCCATCACCATAGCGTGCCCAGCTATGACAGAAGGCCAGAGTCACGGCTTGTGCGGCAGAGTCTGCGACCAGACGTAGGCTGACATGTAACTCTGCTGCACTGGGCTTGCTCAGAACACCAAACGGGCTGCAGGCGGATGCTCTGAGGGGTGGGCAGGTTGGGCGACGGGGACTGGATGCTGGGTGCTCTGGTGCTCGGGGAAGAACATCAGCCAGCCGCGCTATGAATGATAACGTCAAGGGCCGCTTCTGATGGATGCGTCCAACGAATGGTAGACCGTGTGCTTCTGCGTGCAATCTAACCAAACTTGAAACTCGCCAGGAAAGAACGAAGGGCAGCGCCTCCGCGCCCAGGGATGCGCCGTGTAGCCCGCAGCAGTGCGAGCACCTCGGAGCATACCTGGGCGACACCGACACGTCTGCTAGAGACTGGACGGCAGTGCGAGTAGCAAAAAAGCGACAATGGAGCTGTCCACAATCGCTGGCATCTGCATCGGCGCATGCGGTGAGGGAGCGCAGCATCGGCTGGGTGGAGGAGGGGTCGTGGTCCGGGTGCGTGTGCTATGGCAGTAGCAAAACAAGCGTGCCTGCCTCGTTCGCACCTTAGGTAAGCGGGCCTTGTTTGTTGGGGGAGGGCGCGCCTTCCCTCTCACAAAATGTGCTGCTGAGCCCTCACCCAATTCCTCCCCTAACAAATCCGCCGCCCATACAACTTTCGCCCGCAAAGACGTTTGGTGAGTCCGCCTGCATTTTGACGAAGTCGCAACATCACCAGCACCACTTTTCGCAACCACACCCTTTTTCCACGCGTTTCCCCGGTCCAATTGGCCCAACCAGGACTCTCCCAGCCTTCTTTCTTCCGTCTTCTGAACGTCATTGCCTTCAGTCGATTCTTCATCGCCGTCGCCAGCACCCACTGCCACGCGCATACTGACCGCAAAACAGACCTCAGTCAACACTTCCAATTTACTCCCATCTAGCTGCTTCTGTAAGTACCCACACCTTCTCTTACCCGAAAATCGCGCATCATCGCGTTGTGTTGTGGTGTTTTGCGACCGCGTCACCTCACGCGCATAGCAGCGCTGCACCACCATTACCCACTCACCACAACACTACTCCGTTTGCAGGCGAAGACACTAGCTGTGGCCTATACTCGCATTCTCAATCTCACCAGCAGCCATTGTGCCTTCCTGCCACGCTACTCTTACCTACTCGCTGCTTGCAACCCCAACAGCAGCTAACAAGGAACCACAGCCATATACACCACTCAACCACCACTATGCCCAAGGAGAAGACCACCCGCAAGGCCGCGCCTAAGTCCAAGGCTGACGGCGGCAAGAAGAAGAAGGGTAAGCAGCTCACGTGCATCTGCAGACGCGGGTACTGACTCCAGCAGACCCCAACGCGCCCAAGCGTGGTCTTTCCGCATACATGTTCTTCGCCAACGAGCAGCGCGAGAAGGTCCGTGAGGACAACCCCGGTATCAAGTTCGGTACGTTTGCGCTCTTTCTCCATCTTTGACTCCCCTCTAACATTGAACAGGCGAGGTCGGCAAGGTTCTTGGCGAGAAGTGGAAGGCCCTGAACGAGAAGCAGCGCACTCCCTACGAGGCCAAGGCTGCCGCCGATAAGAAGCGGTACGAGGAGGAGAAGGCCGCCTACCAGGTATGTTCATGCATGTACTTCGAATTGATGATAAGTTGACTAACCATCACCAGAACGCCGAGGAAGAAGAGGAGGAGTCCGAGTAGAGGCAATCGCCTCATTCGTGCTTCCACCAACAGCGTTGAAGATGTCTTGTCATGGGCGGCTCGGGCTACCAAGCCTGTCTCGATTTCATTTGTGATCTTCCTACTTCTTAATGGGTTCGTTATCTCTCGCGGAGGAAGGTCTTCGGCTAGCCAATCTGTGGTTCATTTCGAAAAGGACGCTGGCGGTCAGTGCAAACCACGCTGATGGCGGGCGGTCATGATGTTTGGGCGTCTTCCCCTCGACGTCGTGAAAGGAACATCACGAAGCTCATGACCAAGTCTATGTACACTAGCAATTGCGGTATGGAAAGTCTTTGCTGCTTCTACAATGTTCCTTCTGTTGTGTGACCGTGATGTCGATGCGATCAGGCTTGGGCGTAGCACTACGCATGCTGATGGTAGCTCAGGTCCCAGCTCAGCCCCTGACGTTGAAGTTTGTGTCTTGCCTGCTGTCAAAAGTAGGCCATGACGGCGTGATAGAGACCCTTCCGTTCGTAGCAACCGGAAGTTGGCCCTCTAGCGACAGGTCTTTGACGTTTACTCACACCGCCGAACCGGGTGCCCGCATCCACGGTAGGGGTTGTTTCCCTGGCTTCACAACCACACTTTCACGAACCCCACCCCTTCAATCCACTCACTCTATCTCAAGTCGCCTATATAATGTCTCTAACTCGTTCCTAGTCCATCAATCGATCATTGCATCAAAGCGCCGTTGGGCTAGTGGTATGCTATCGCCTTCCCATCGTACATCGGACGACGGACCAGGCGGGGATCACGGGTGTAGGATGCCAAACCATTCATCAATTCGAATCTTACCGCTAACATTGAACAGTCAAACCCCGTACGGCGCATTGCTTTCTTTTTGCCGCTCCCCTACGGAAGGTGGGGTGTGTTTTTTGCTGGGGTGTCGCGTGGCAGTGAAGGTTTAGTGATGCAGAAGGAAGGTAGGTGATGTCATTCTGGGAGGCATTGGGAAGGTGCAGGCGATTACTCTCTTGTTGGGAAACAAAGCCCTGAAGTGTGCTCAGGTATGCTCACTGGTGAATGCAAGATGCGCGTGAGGCCCTGGTCTACGGTCTAGAGAACGTAGCTGGATGAAACTGGAGGCTGGTATAACTCTTCGACTTTAGTAAATAATGGACATTGTCTGGGTATGATTTGAACGCCTAGCTTTGCCGCCTCCTGACAGCAGAAACACATAGATCAGGGTAGGTACGGAGCAGTCCAACCACATCGTTACCACCCATCTCTTTCTCCCACCTTTTGAAAAGATCTCCATTGACGTGAAAAGCACTCTATGCGAATGCGCAAGGACTACTCTCTTTGTAAAACCACCATCACACCCATCATGCCTAACATGACCTGCTTCAGCCATGGATGCTCGCTCAACAGGATGGTAACGTATCCAACGAATGGTATGAAGCCGACGACGCTTCCGATGACATCTTCTTTGCGGTTCAGGAAGGATTGGCCGGCGGCGTAGAGTTCGGTGTCGTCCGCGAGGTTGTTGTCGCCCTTGGTCAGGAGGCGGAGCGGTGTTTTGCTAGTAGTTGGGTCAGCATGAGCTTTGTGGTAACGTCTGAAAACCTGCGAGCTGATCTTGACTCGTACGACCCTCATGGAGAACCTCAGTCACAGCGAAAGGAAAAGAGCGCGACTCACCCTCCTCCATATCTCCTCACAACGCGATGCACGATCGGGATGTCTTTGCCCTTGACGTTGTACACCACAATTTCGCCCACTTGTGTATCTGCCCCCCGGTTCCACAGGAACAGCAGATCTCCTCGTTGGAATGCAGGCTCCATGGATCCTGACAGAACGACGACAATGGGCGAGGGCGAGTCGGAGACCACGGACAGTCCTTTCCACATCATGAAGGCGGTTGACAGGACGAGCGCGAAGTTCAGGACTTGTGCGGCGAGTTGCCGCGGCTGCATATTCGCAAGGCCCAACATAGCTGCGGATCGGGAATGCTGATGCGAAGGTTGGAGGTAGAGGTGCGCTCGTTGATCGTGGAGTGGGACGTGGGGCGCGCGACCGGGTCGTAAACTCGCGTCTTGAGAATATGAATTCACCGCAGGCGTATTCGGGGATATGTGTAGGGGTGGGCGGCGCGGCGACTTGCGCGTCGGGGAATTCGTGGTCGAGATGTTGAAGCCAGATGTCCTTGGCTTCGCTGTTGCGGGCAGCTTAGTCAACCTCCGAGATGTGAGCTATGAACTCCGCATCCCTCTCTGCTACTTGACCATAACAACACACGACACTTTCAAATAGCGGCACACGACTCATAAGCCCTAGCCTCATCATGTTTCGGTCTGATAATGGTTATGAGGGACTTGTCGCGCGTGAGGGTCTGTTTTCGTCTTTCACCTGGCATGATGGCCCTCACCGAAGCCCACCTTTACCCTGGGAACGTATCCACACGATGTCTAGTTATGTCAGGCTTCGTTTTGACGCTCACATACAACACTGCTCAATTCTTCCTCCTCCCAATAGGTTGAAATTCGATCTACAGCTGTCACACAACTGTCGCTCACCAGCTCTCATTCCTATCTGTCACTCCCCAAACAAACGACCCCACATCACATAATCAAGGCCATCACGATGCGGCTATCGCCAGGCGATATGGTGCAGTATAGGACTCCTGGTTTATTCTTCCCGCTATGGCCGGCGGTCATTTGCGACGACAATATGGCACCGGGGGACGTGTTGGGAACTCGTCCACATGGGAAATCAACTCTGGTCTTACTGATGGGCGAGGATCTGGTCTTGTAAGAAACTTGAAGCTTGAACAATGTCTTGACCCTGCTAACTCGACAAGTCGCTGGGCGCATGCCGCAGACATGAGGGAGTACGACCCTTTCACGCCCTACACGCACGAAGAGGTTATCGAAATCACGCCAGGACTTGGTGATGCATATGAGATGGCGAGCAAAGCACTTGATGAGCATATGGGCATTGATCAATGGCGAAAGCAACTGATGAATCTAGCCAACGAGGCTTCGGGCTCGGACACTAACATGAACGACTCGGGCGATGATTCAGACTCAGATCCAGAAATGAGACAGGCTCTCCGGCAGAGCCGCAAAGAATTCTATGGTAATCGGTCGAAAGGGCGAATTGCGAACAGCTTCTCACATCCACCGACTTCATCACAGTCGCCATCAAAACCTGCGCGGTTCCCAGCCAATCGTCGCGTTTCTGTCGTCTCCGGCTCCAGCAGAGCTCCAGATACGATCTTGAATGCATGGGAAGCACCGTCGAGACCTGCCGCCAGCTCATCGCAGCCCTCAAGAGACCATGGACAACTTCAGGCCGTACCATCCCCACAAGATCGGTTGAATATGCGCAGAGACACGCCAATAGACCTAACGGACGACAGCAGCGCCCATAACTCGACTGAGGTAAGAACGGCCGAATCGAGACAGAGACACTTTCAACAGATAGGCTTCCTCGACCATCAGCTCGGTGGCGTGGGACGTGGTCGGAAAGAACCAATCAGCGATACCATTGAGGGTGAGCTGTGAGTTTCCTATCAATCTCTCATACCCTCTCAGCTAACAGAATCTAGTTCCGAAAGCAAGGAATTCGTACAAGTATTGGTCGGGCCTGACCAAGAAGTCTACAACCTGCAAATATCGTGTCTGTGGGACCGTCCATACTTCAGAGACTCCAAGCAGGGCCTCCTCCTGATCGACCACAATGACGCCGGGATGTGGGAGCTCAAACACCCTGCTCTTGTCGACATCAACCCGGAAGATTTCACATTCATCGCAGAATATCTAGAAAGTGATGGATTTGGTCATCGGAACCCGCAAGAGGGTGAGGAAACGAACGAAGCCTTTGCACAATGTGTTGCAGCATGGATCACCGCGGAAAAGTTAGGCATGTGGGACATGCTGGAACATGTCGCTGAGAAGCTGAAGGGCATACAACCAGGGATGTTGGAAGTCTTGGTATTCTGTCGACATGTTTATGCAGAAGACGCAACCTCCCTTTCCCAGGACGATGTCAGGGACTACTTGGCCGTATACATTGTGGAGCATTGGTGGACATATTGGGGGGACGATCACCTGAGACCAAACTTCATGGAGCTGCTGCAACAGTTCCCACAGCTGGATAGAGACGTTAACGAGCGAAGGGGACCGGTGTTGGAAGAACGCATTGATCAGAGTCAAGATTACAGCGATGCTGACATGGACTGAATATGTCATGGCTCATCTGGTTGTTCTTCCGGTGTACTTATTTTGCTTTCAAAAAGTTCAGTTATGTTTTTTCTTCTAGGTTGAGAGGGCGAGGAACAAGTCCCTTATTATCTTCATCATTGTACTTGGAAAAGCTATTCCAGTCCTGAGAATGTCTCGCCAGAAGCCTCTTTTACATCCTTTATCCAACAGACAAGTCGAATGATAGCCCAGCTTCAATCGCAGCATCTGAACAGTGCAAAGAACAACTCAGTCGGAGTCGCTTTCGAACTCCGGAACATTTGGATCTAGGCGAATGTGGTCAGTATGCCGTCTTGTTTGTCGCCTGCTCATCGCGCAGATACATACCTCGAAGCGCCATGTACTCCAACGTACCACCAGCCTTCTCCGCAAGATTATCCCTCACCAGCGTCAAATCCTCTTCCGAGAGCAGCGTATCTGTGTCTGCCATATCTATCGAGAGGCGAATGGCCTGATTACCCGGGCCGAGTCTCGATACAAAATCCAGGAGACCATCCATGGTGAATTTGGATATGCCGGAAATAGTAACGGTGCGCAAGTTTGGCAAGCTGGCTAGGTGAGGAAGCACGATGTCGTTGAGCTCCAGGCCGCTTACGTACAAATCCTCCAGCATTGTGAGCTCAGCGAGAATGGTGACGAGATGTTCATCCCGCAGCACCTCCGGAAGGATGAGGTGCAGATCTCGCAGCTCTGTCAATTGCTTTAAAGAGTCCACAAGAGTATCTAGATCGTCTCGAAACATGCCATCGGTATCGCCACTCAGAAAGAGCACCCGCAGAGAAGACTGCTGGTGTACAAGAGCCTGATGGAAGGTCTTGTGATCTTTTAGTGTGTACGAGTCTATCTCCAAGCTGCTGAGTTGTATCTTCTCTTCCAGCAGTACGGGCGTGATGAGTGCGGCTCCGGATTGCATTTTCGAGAAGCTGAGGCGTTGTAGATCTGAACATTTGCGTAACCAGGCAGTCGTCTCGAGGAAGACGTCATGTTCTGTCGCTTCCAAGTCTACAGTACCATGGATGTCCTCAATGCGCAGCGTTCTTAAAGCTGTACATCCTTGTAGTAGCGACAGATGCGGTATCGACTCGTTCGAAACGCACAGTCTCAGATCCTCTAATGAACTTCCATGGTGATTGAGAGCTAGTAGTGACTCGGCGCCGGCTTTGACGTCGCTGATGGTTTGGAGTGTTTGGAGCGTGTTCGGTCGCATGGAGGAGAGGAATTTGGCGAACTTGTGATCATTGTCTTCTGAGACCCAGGTATAGATCATAAGAGATTTGAACTGCGGACAGTGGTCGTAGATAGATGCATGAACCAGTTCGTCTTCTAGCGGCTTTCCGTCCCACAGCTCAAGGCTCTGTAGTCGAGGAAGCCGGGGCGTCCATCGTACCAGAGCACCAGGCTGGACTAGTATAGTTAGCTCATATCCGAATGTTGAGAGGAAGGATGTACTTACGTTCACCGCTGATGATCTCCAGGGTTGGGGTATGCTGTGTGACCACTGCACCACGTTAGTATCGTACTGAACAGCTTCGCGCATTTATCAAACCTTCACCAATCGCGTCGATGATATCCGCTGTCTTTATCCGAGTATACTTTCTGCCTTTGATGTTCGTCCCTGTCTCAGTCTTCTCGAACTGCTTCAACGGCCCGGAGAAGAATTGCCTATATTACAATCAGAGTTGGTGGTGTCTGACATCGAAGCTGTACTGACTTGGAAACTTTCGCACGGAATTGGTCGTCATCGAGGAGATATCCCAGATCCCGAAAGTCTAGCGATTTGATATAACGGCAGTATGGGAACAGTGTGACATCGAGTGCAGATGCGACAATTGATCGCCAAAGAATGGACCTAAATATGGGTGTACGGAGTCAATGTTTGCCTCATACAGTTCGCACGATAAAGGTTGCGTACCATTTTTGGATCGTGAGAAGCTTGGTGGCAGCTGGTAAGCCATAGAGATCTTCTCCTCCACCTCGAACAGGGGCGAGATGATGAGATCTAACGATTGTGTCAGTTAATTGACGATAAAGTAGCGAGGCCACTGCGACATACTTGTACAGATGAGTTAATGCAGGTACGGCGAGAGCACGGCTGGCGCAAGCACAGTTGAAGAGTGTGTCGAACTGTTCTTGATTCGCAAGCTCTTCGCATAGGAGATGCAGAATATCATCAGGCAGCGCTGACTGAGTCATTTTGTTTGCACTAACGAGGGCTGATATCGTGCTCCTAAGAAAGGTGAATAGATGGGCGCCCATGAGAGTAGGCGCGATGATGTCAATGCGCTAGCGCGTGTTTGACGCGCTCTTCCCGCTTTCGGTCGCCGGGGCTCGTCGCGATTCCACACAAACATCCTGCGACAATGCGAGCAGTCGCGCGAAGACAAAATGGTTGTCCTCAACTTCACCCTGACGCCCGAGGCAGCGTCTAAGGTTCACGATCTACTTGTTTGCCTCGGCAAGTTCAGCGAGACTGTAGCCATTGAAGCGCGTCGCGAAAAGGTAGGTTTGCCGCTCTTCCTTCTAGTCAGTCCGGCATCTCATACCTCCTGCGTCAGTTCACGTTTACCGCTCTCAACTCTTCCAAATCCGCATACGCCGCCATAACATTAGACGGTCGACAATTTTTCGCCAGCTATGAATGTGTGCCGACTTATGGCGGTCCTGACGGCCGCTTCACGTGCAGTATGTACACCAAAGCGCTCTTGTCGGTCTTCAAAAGTCGCTTGTACGACCCGCTAGGGCGTGATGGTGCGATCGATCGCTGTGAAGTCAGCGTGCAAGAGCGAGAAACTGAGGCGCAATGTCGATTCATCGTCAAGATGATCTGCAACCAGGGCGTCATCAAGACCTACAAGCTCACATATGAAGCCGTGGACGTCATGCATGCACTGTTCGATCGCAACGCGGCGAAAAACAGGTGGAGCATGCACTCCGGGGCTATGAAGGAGTACGCTGAATATTTTGGTACCAAGACCGAAATGCTCGATATCTTTGCGAGTGAAGACGGACGCTGCGTATTTAAGAGCTACACAGAAAAGATCTCGAACGGGAAGGAAATCCTGAAGCATCCACTTGTCACAGCCGTCGCAGTCAATACTTCCGACTTCGAGGAATTTACTGTGCAGGCGGGTATGCACATCATCATCAACGTCAAGGATTTCAAGGCAATAGTCGTCCATGCAGACACAATGAAGACAAGCTTAAAGGCCTTTTACTCCCAGCCAGCGCGACCACTCCAGTTCAGCTATGGAAGCGATGGGCTGCTCTGCGAGTTTACGCTAATGACTTCTGGCAACCACACCGCCGCTCCATCTGCGCCAACACCTGCGACGCACGCAATGAGCAGCAGACAAACCTCTCGCACGACCTCAACCACAGCTGCGGAGCGTGGACATAGTCGCAGCTTCCGATCTAATATGCCACCGCCTGTGCAACCAGCATCGCGACGCGATGCCTCTGGCCGAGTGCGGAATCCAGGATCTCGTCAAGTCTCGGCACTGCAAGCACAACCTGTCCGTGACGATTCGGAAAGCCTCTTCGTACCGGAGGATGAGGACGCAGCCTGGGCGCCGGTAGACTATGATAAGGAAGAGACTCTGGGATGGGACGCGAATGCCAACAACGATGCTGCAGCTTTTCCAACATTCACGGACAGTGGTGGTGTGTCGAAGACGAACAAGGCGGACAGCAATGAAGTGTTTGAGCCTACGCAACGTGTATCGCAGATCAAAGGACTGTGGTAGTCGCCTGACACTGACGACCGCATATTGCACGAAGTGGCTGTTCAAGGCCCAAAGCAAGTTCCAGCTGTCGCAATGGGTATACATTCGCATCTCCGATGCCAGCGGCTTATCAGATCTTATGCACCGTCTCAACTAGTGTATCTCCTGTCTTTCCGCAAGATCATGGAGGCTATCAACTCTGAGACTTGTGGCAAGGTTGCAATGGAGCCGTTAAGATTAAACTGCCGGAAGTGTGGTACTCCGAGGGAGGAAATGTTTGTTAACCTTCGCGCACACATCACAGCATTATTGCTGTTTCGCACATAATGTCACAAATGAGAGAAGTCGCAAGTATAATGTACTAGTTCACTAGACTGGTCGATTGAACGGGACGCTGAACATCCTGAAGAACACGTGCATGAACTACAGCTATCCAACTGCATCATACACAGATGTGTAGTACGCTTTAGAAGAGGCAAAGAAGAAAGATGCATCGAAATGGTTTCCTCTGTTGCGCGATGAGGCACATGGTACTCTTGGGGTTCGTGATGGCGATGGTGGCTTGATACCTGCGGGTCGGCGTGGCCGGTCCATGAGATGCTTGCTTGTTTACAGAAGCGACTCAATGTGCTCAGACTTTTACGTTACTGAAGATGCCTGGCAAGGCTTCTTCTGCTTACGCTGATCTACCGAATTGTCAATATTAGGAAATGGATTCCTTCAAAGCTGACCTAGGTATAATTGATAGAACACTGGATATCATCCAGGATGTCAAAGGCAGCACGCGCACAGGTGTACGAATTTGTGCAACCTTCCACAGCGTCGGCTGCGCAGCTTCCACGGCCTGCGACAGCATCAAAGGTGCGAGTCGATGACGTGGATCTCGCGTACGCGTATTTGCGGATGGTGGGGCTCCAGGGTTGTCTAGAGAAAACGATGTAGGGGATCTTACCATGTTATATCCAGACGATAGTGAAGCAACGCCTGCATACTCTTCTCGACCGACAATGGCACCCAGACGCATTCTAGTAATCGCTGGCTCGGACAGTTCGGGTGGGGCGTACGTACGCGTGCATGCATCCGCCCTTCATCAGCCACACACCACTAACCATGCTGCCACGCCAACAGCGGACTAGAAGCAGATCAGAAGGTCATTGCAGCGCATGGCTGTTATGCTATGACGGCTACGACTGCTTTGACAGCCCAGAACACACTAGGCGTCCAGGACATCCACCATACCCCGCCGGACTTTGTGCGGAAGCAGATCGATGCTGTCTGTGAAGATGTGGGCGTGGATGTGGTCAAGACAGGTATGATGACATTCAGAGAGACACCATTCTTTGGTGAATGTGCTGATAAGATACAGGCATGCTTGCATCTGCTGAGACCATTATGGTCGCTGCGGATGCTTTGAAGAGACATGAGATCAACACCAGTATCGTTGATCCTGTACGTCTCAGATTTCATTCTAGATCCCTTTATATGAACCAAAACGAGCTCCGTGCTGTGCTGACTACTTGAACAGGTAATGGTGTCAACATCTGGCTCACAGCTCCTTCCCGAATCAGCCATCGAAACCCTGATTCAACACCTTCTGCCTCACACGACGCTTCTCACACCAAACCTTCCTGAGGCTCGCTTGCTTCTCCAAACGGCCGGGTACGATATTCCTGATCCGAAGAATGTTGATGACATCGTCTCGATGGCGCAGCATGTCCGGTCACTAGGACCCAAATGGGTGTTACTGAAGGGGGGCCATTTACCATTGACCCACGGCCGGGTAGTCAGCACGCACGACAGCGAGAGGGAAGTCGTCTTGAACATCCTCGTGGGTGAGACTGGAGTCACAATGCTAGAGAGCCCGTATCTGCAGTCGAGGAACACGCATGGGACAGGGTGTTCATTAGCATCCGCTATTGCGTGTAATCTGGCGGAGGGAATGTCGATGGCCAAGGCGGTCAAGAAGGCCAATCTGTACGTTGAAGCAGGCATCAAGACAGCTGTCGATATGGGAGGGGGAAGCGGCCCCATCAACCATTTCCACTCGATGTACATGCTGCCTTTCACGCCAGGCAACTTTATTAGCTATCTGCTCGACCGAGAAGACGTGCAGAAGCCGTGGAAGGAATATACCCAACACGAGTTCGTGCAGAGTATGGGCGCTGGGACATTGCCAGTGGAGAAGTTCATGTACTACCTTGTGCAGGACTACCTCTTCTTAGTAAGTATATGTTGAAACATATTCATTTCCCGTGTAGAAGAGAGTAACTGACTAGTAGGAAGGTCCAATTTGCAAGAGCGAACGCGCTGTCTGCATACAAATCTAGCAATCTGAGAGACATTGGGTACTCCGTGCAACAAGTCGTCACCCTCCAGGAAGAGATCAAGCTGCACATCGACTTCTGTAAAGAGTACGGACTATCGGAGGCCGACATCATCGAAGAAGAAGAGGACCAGGCCACCACGGCATACACCCGTTATGTGCTCGACATCGGCCTGTCGCAAGACTATCTTGCTCTGCAGATTGCGCTTTTGCCTTGTCTCATCGGTTACGGCATTATTGCCAAACGTCTCTACGAAGATCCCAGCACCGTGAGGGTGGGAAGCAAGTACTGGAAGTGGATTGAGCAGTATGTGGCAGAAGAGTACAGGGAAGCGATGATGAGGGGCAGTGAGCTGGTAGAGAAGCATGCCGAGGGACTGAGTCCGAGCCGGGTGGAAGAGCTGGCCAAAATCTTCATACACGCTACAAATGTGAGTGCTAGGCTGAATATGACAGTCGGTAACATGCTAATGCTGTATAGATGGAGAAGGGGTTCTGGGACATGGGCCTCAGAGCTGGTGATGGGCCAAGGTGAGAACCAGGGCACAGGACTGTATCCTATCTGATGGGAAAGCATCGGGTTGTCTCGTCATCGGTATACTTTCACATTGTCGCATTGCTTCGAGAAGTAGGCACTAGGCGTGCAATATGCGGGTCGCAATGGAAAATGCTTCGCAATCACCCAGATGCAAGGCCCACAGTGGCGACATAGTCTTCGGTTTTCGTGGTGGCTTCCCCGGGCTGATAACGGCAAGCTCCGCCCTTACCCAACTGGGCGAGACCCTGGTGCTAGCGGCGCTAGCGTCTCAAAAAATGTGCAAGCGCAACAGAGGCAAGGCAACTTTTCCTGTCGCGCTCTGCCCTCTGACTTCCTCTCACCCCAACTCGCAACTCTACAATTTGTGCTTCTTTTATCGCACAACACGCGACACTTTTACAGTCGCTCTACTGCAACTAATATCTTCTCGTAGTCTCCAGACTTCGACCCACGCTCCCTTACTCGATCGGTTCCCCCTTGACGCCAGTCTCTACAACACACTCTCACATCATGTCTTCCTACGGCGGCGGTTACGGCGGCGGCGGCGGTGGATACGGCGGCGGCGGTCGCGGTGGTGACCGTGGCTACTCGAACGGGTACGAAAACAGCAACGCTGGATATGGGTCTTACAACAACTCGACAAGCCATTATGCATCGTACGGGTAGGACGATACACCCCCTTCACACGGGAACGGCATCACAGTCGTGGTTCTTGGACAGCCCTCCATCTGCTACCATTCTTTCTCTCCATTCTGCGCGCAGTCTGAGTTCGATCGTCCTGTCAGGCTGTCTCACAGTCGAAGCGGGCGGTCGCTTACTCGATGCGACAACGTAGAAGCCCCCTTCTGTCACTCATCTCATCTCAGCGACATCTGCTAACATCTATCTAGTGGCGGCGGCTACGGCGGCGGTGGTGGTGGCTACTCCGGCGGCGGTGGTGGCTACGGTGGAGGAGGTGGTGGTTATGGCGGTGGCGGCGGCGGCTTTGGCGGTGGTCGCGACGGCGGCGACCGCATGTCGCAACTCGGCCAGGGCCTGAAGCAGCAATCATGGGGTATGTTCCATTGTCTCGTATAGGCTCCGCGCAACACTAACGCTTTCCAGATCTCGACACGATGCCCAAGTTCGAGAAGTCCTTCTACAAGGAGGATCCCGCTGTTACTGCTCGCTCAGCAGCCGAGGTTGCCGAATACCGCAAGGAGCACCAGATGACCGTCAAGGGCGAGAACATTCCCAAGCCCGTCACAACCTTCGACGAGGCTGGCTTCCCATCATACGTGATGAACGAGGTCAAGGCCCAGGGTTTCGCCAAGCCCACCGCTATCCAGGCTCAGGGTTGGCCCATGGCTCTCTCTGGTCGCGACGTTGTTGGTGTTGCCGAGACCGGTTCCGGAAAGACGTTGACCTACTGTCTTCCTGCCATCGTTCACATCAACGCTCAGCCTCTCCTCGCCCCCGGCGATGGCCCCATCGTCCTCATTCTCGCGCCCACTCGTGAGCTTGCTGTCCAGATTCAGCAAGAGATCAGCAAGTTCGGAAAGTCCTCGCGCATCCGAAACACCTGCGTCTACGGAGGTGTTCCAAAGGGTCCCCAGATCCGTGACCTTGCGCGCGGTGTTGAGGTGTGCATTGCCACCCCTGGACGTCTCATCGACATGTTGGAGGCTGGAAAGACCAACCTTCGCCGTGTTACCTACCTGGTTCTCGACGAGGCCGACCGCATGCTTGACATGGGTTTCGAGCCTCAAATCCGCAAGATCATCGGACAGATTCGCCCTGACCGTCAAACCTGCATGTGGTCCGCTACATGGCCCAAGGAAGTTCGCCAGCTTGCTGCCGACTACCAGAAGGACTGGATCCAGGTCAACATTGGTTCCATGGATCTCTCTGCCAACCACCGCATTCAACAGATCGTCGAGGTCTGCACAGAGTTCGAGAAGCGTGACCGCATGGCCAAGCACCTCGAGACCATCATGAGCGACAAGGACAACAAGATCCTCATCTTCACAGGTACCAAGCGCGTTGCTGACGAGATCACCCGATTCCTTCGTCAGGACGGCTGGCCGGCGCTTTGTAAGTTAAACCGCATGTCATGAACTGATCACCGCTAACTCATCTCCAGCTATTCACGGCGACAAGCAGCAGAACGAGCGTGATTGGGTCTTGAACGAATTCAAGACGGGCAAGAGCCCCATCATGGTTGCCACCGACGTGGCTTCCCGTGGTATCGGTATGATTGCAAACCCCCAACACTCCCCCCTCCTCACCTCCCCAACTATTATTATGCGTGAACTGCCATTGTGCTCTGCTTAGGTCGTCTTGTGCGCTCGTTACACTCGCTCCCATGACATCGTCCAGGGCTTGCCTCTCTCGAATCTGATCCCCAGGGATCCTTGGTTACGCTGGCGAAGCTTTCAGTCTTCGCTATCTTCTGTTTCTGGTATTACCAAGGTATTACTGAAGCAAGCTGCTTGAGATATCTGACTTACACAAGTCGCACTCTCTTCCAAGGGTTTCTGGACCAGGAGACATCCACAGCCTTCCCACTGGACTTGATGCCGTGACATTCGTTGTAGCGCACAGAGACGGTTGCATGCAACATACTGCAGCTTCACGCGATCCAATCATGATCGTCGTTTGCTCGTTCCTTTCATCAGTCACTAACCTTTGCTCTTCAAGATGTCCGCAACATTACTCACGTGTTCAACTATGACTACCCGAACAACTCGGAGGACTATGTCCACCGCATTGGTCGTACTGGTCGTGCTGGCGCTAACGGTACTGCCATCACCCTCTTCACCACAGACAGTATGTATCTTCGACCCTACTCTGCACACCATTCACTAACTGATTCATCAGACTCCAAGCAAGCTCGTGATCTCGTCCAGATTCTCACAGAGTCCAAGCAGCAGATTGATCCTCGTCTGCACGAGATGGCCCGCTACGGTGGCGGCGGTGGTGGTGGTGGTCGCTGGGGAGGTGGCCGCGGCCGTGGTGGAGGCCGTGGCGGAGGCCGTGGTGGTAGGTGGTAGAAGTCCCTTCGACACCGAGCGAGATCTAACGCCCATCTCAGGCTGGACCGGAGGTAACAGCGATCCCATCCGCAACAGCCGCTGGTGATCACTTTATCCATCGCACTTGCTTATTCACATTGTCAGAACGATGAGCACCCTTTCTCCAACCTGCTATCGGCGTTGGAGGCAATCGTTTCGGACTTGCTTCATCTTTCATCCCATTTCTCGTGCGACGGAAAGCCGCTGTACCTGCTCAGGTTCTGTCGTACCCTGATACCCCATGGACAGAGCTTTGATCTTCATGCATGGACACGATTTCAGTATGGTAGCATGGTTCTTCTACATTAGACTGGCATTGTTTTGTTTTCCTCTATTGAGGTTGCGCCTATTCAGCAATCCCTTGCATGATGGCGCTGGTGGCGTTTATGTCCAGAAAAAGTTTCTGTAACTGTAATAGCGATATAGAATACACGTACTGCGTTTTTTACTATGATATCCGCTTCATCTGACTGTCTTGCCTTGCCTTGTGCTGGATCCATAATGTAATCCTGTAGTTGACTGATGAGCTGTTATAGCCAGACGACTCGACACGTCGCTTATACCTCTCGCTATCGACGCGCAAACGCTGAACATTACCTACACCCTTTAAACAAGTCCGCCGCCTAATTAAGGCTGTTTGTTTTCATCAGCATAATGGCGGCTGCAACATCCTGTTTGTCAAAGTGGCCGCATGTGATCTGGACGCAGGATCTGTCGGTCACATCTAATGTCTGGTGGAACCTCTGCGAAGAGGTGAGTACAGGCCGATCCATCAGCAGTCTCATGTCGATCTCGTAAGAGAGGAGATAAGGTATAATTCTATTGCAACAGCGAATTGAAGTTCTTCTAGAGGAAGACAAGGACTACATGTTATCAGAATAAAGGGAAATAGATAGAGCACGATTGTCAAGAGCGCAACATGCACATAGAGAACGACTATGTATTCCGACTAGATATGTTAGCTACACAGAAGGGTGGATAGCGCGACTCGGGGGTGTCTGCCTTCGCGCCATCCTGTGTGTTCGTTTTTGCCATTCGATGTCATTGCAGGCTGGTATCGTAGGGGTACATATTGATGTGGTGCTATCAAAGTATATGGATTCAGGTAGCTGTTATAACAATACGGTTGAGCACAATGTCTTGATTGTTTTTATGACTTTGTCGTATAATCTAATAAAGATTGAGACGGTACATTGTATCAGGCATACACTGGAGACATCGTCGGTCTATCATTGTAAACAAGAACTCATACATATTGCTGTTGTGCTCATATACAGAAGCTTGTGCCTTACAGGCATACATATGCTTTAGAGCATCCAAGAAGACGGGTATGTATGCAGCGGCATCTGATTCTGTATCATCCTTCATGAAAAAAGAACATGAAAACTTCATCTAGAGAGGCGATATATGTCTGTTACCTTGACATGATATGAAACCAAATGTTCGCATCGTCAACTACTCCAGATTCTATCAAAACAATGTTTGGTCGCAGTATTACTAAGGCGTTATTCATGTTATATATGTCCTTTCTCACAGTGCGATCTTCCGCCTGAGGACTGTATTCTCACCGGCTTTTTATGCCGATAAGCAGTGTCTATCCGGAACACGAGCAGACCCGTTGCCCTCTTTAAGCCATCACCGTGAACCCTTCGACTGCGCTCGAAAAGATTTGGAATTGCGTCCACGGTTCATGACGCGGCAGCTGCTGCGGGAATGAGGTTCATGGTGAAATACATGCGCACTCCTCACTGTTCCCTTGGGACACTGGTCATTATCTTCGGCTCGGGGTTGCCTTCGGATACGGGGTCGTGAACAGCGATGCACAGCCTCAACGTGGCCTTAGCCCCACTGCGACTGCCTGATACCTCTACTCATTAGTCGTCGGTGTCTGGTACGCATCACTTTATTGTGGAGCTACAAAGAAGTTTCTGGACTCATGTGTCGTGCTTCAGGATGTAGAAGTAAGGACTTCTGGTCGTTTGATGAGCAAGACACAATAAAGTGGTAGCGAGAAAACACGACTGACGTACCAGAACATCGTTCACCCAACACACCACCTTGTGGCCAGAGGGTGAAGGCTAGAACAACATCTCTTGCTTGAGCGCTCGTGAAGACCGGAATGAATATTGCGAATGGAAAGAATAGCCACGATAGACAACGAAGCTTGAGGAGGCTGGGAGGTGCCACTGTCTGCATCATAAACTCATATGTATGCAGGGTCTAAGGCAGAACCGCTCACTCACTCACGCTGACGATTACACCAAATCCCTGGAAGTACTACATTTTGGATGCCCGTGGGCAGACTTAACCCCCTGAATTGCCCATAGGAAGGCGTTGATGATAGACATTCCTGGGCCTTCAAGCGACGCATGCGATCTTTGATCCGAGCCGCACGCATTTTCCAGTAAAAACAATCGATCGTATAGTAAGTATAGTTGTGAGATTTGAAACGTATACATGACGAAAGTTTCTGGGAAGAGTGAACACGGTGGGACAGATAATGATGAGTACGCGTGTACGTACATAACATAACTGTCGGTTCGAGCTGCCCAACAATCATATCGACCGAACTAGTCGCTTGGTAAGAGAGACCACGGTAGTACTATCGAGAGATAATATAGAGCTAATATGGAAACGCTCAGGTGGATGAAAGAAAGACGGAACGCTCGGTGCTTCCTCGCTGTAGGATAGACGCCTTCCCGGGGCGTCCCGAATGACGACTACCTAAAGACTGGATCCGCACTATCTAGGCAACCGTGTCGATACATGATATGACGATACATCTATTCCAACTTGTACCTTGGGCTAGGTGAGGAAAGAATAATCAGGACACTTGAGTGGTTTCGACCTCTATGGACTGGTCCATAGCACCGTACCTGATGATACCCCAAGTGAGAGATGTCGTAAAGAATAGAGCCGAGACAGAGTAGAAGCCAAGATCGCGACGAGGCAGATTGCGCATGAAGATGATGGCAGGGAGCAGCCGCTGACCGGACAGTGATCGCTGCGATGGCGCAAGACGCGATCATTTTCAAGGAGCGGATGATCCGCTCATGCGGGAGGAACGCGACGGACGGACTACAAGTGTAGACGTCTTTCTAGGTGATCGATATGATCCATGGAAGCGAAAGCAAATCTTGAGAAGCGGTTGCCCATACCCCACATCTGACTGTGAGTCGCGGTCTAAGTTCGGTGTCGTGCAGTAGCGGGATCGATTGCAACGTCAGAGTGCAGTAAATTACTCGCTGTCTGACACTGGGGCGTCACGCACCAGATGTTACAACGCCAAGAAAGCAATCTGACTAACACGCCTTCGCCCAGCAGGTGTCTCCCGGTGCAGCCGGGTATGGACATCATCATCGTCGTCGTATTGGTGACAAGACTTCCAGGTTTTCCGCGGAAACAGCTACCCACGGAAGGTAGCCCGACTGCAGATGACCGTCACGAGGCGAGCACGGCGATGTCCATTGAGGGTTTCGTTGGATTGTTCGAGATTGCTGTGGATGTGCCCTGCAATAATTACCGCAAGGTAGGACTGTCCCGAGGTTCACCAGATCTGGAATGTGTCTTATGGCTGATCTTTTCGTTTGAACTCCGCACAATCGAGGCCCATGAAGATCAGCAAGGCCATAGGGAGTAAAGGTTGGGCATCCCTGCCACCGAGACCAAGACTCAAGCGCCGCAAGAGACGGCTGCTGCTACGATGGCAACACCAACAGCAGGGAATATGTGGCTCAACAAAGCCAAAGGCCCATGACGCAGCTCGCTTTCGTGTTCTTTCATGCAAAAGGCATTTGCACGAACTGTAGTTCGGGCAGTGGGTGACAGGTCGCCGGCCACTAACTACGTACTGGAACGCATGAGCCTTGTGCTGAACCAGAAAATTGCATCTTGGAACTAGATCGCGCTATTGCCCGGCGAATTGGCGGCCCAGCTTTAGACTCCGTTTCATCGTGCACATTTGTAAACTAACACACAACAAGCTTTATCGATTTTCGACGGGGACTCGACATGTTCCAAGTACGGGGGGCTGGGGACAGTCGTCAGAAACCTTCGCGCCAACTTGTAGCGGGTAGATGCCGACAGACATGCATCTCATGACTGCGTTTTCATGGGTTGGAAAGGACCGACCCTGTGGCCTGGCCATCGGATACAGTGCTCCCACAAAGTGTGTCGGATGCCTTTCTTGACTCGGGGTCGGGAAGATTTGCAGAGAGCGGAATGTGGAGAAAGTCGGAACAGTCGAACAGTGAACATGTCCGTTCGAAGCAGCGCTCAGATCCGCTAACGCATCGTAGTCATGGGCGGAGGAGGTAGGGAAAGAACAGACGAGCAAGAGAGACCTGGAGCAAATGCAGGTGACGACTGGGATGAGGCACAGCGTGCAGGCCAAGCTCACGCCATGTCGCATCGAGACAAGGAGGCAGAGACGATCTGCGGGCTCCAACGTCGGCCATTCTTCGGTGGCTCTGGGTGCAGCTCCCGCGGGCAACTAAGTAGGGTTGTTGAAGAAGCATTATTTGTCAAGGAAGATCGTGATTCGGGTGCACCTACATTACCAAACGGGGTGGGCCATGATTCCGCAGAAACCGGAGTGCTGGCATGCGCATGGCCGTTGTCAATGCCGTAGATGGTGTGTCGGGTAATACGGCCAATGGTTTAGTATGGGCCTTCCAAACAAAAGTGGGTTGGGAAATGCAGAACTATGTCATGACCAAGGTTTCGATGTTGCAGACGAGGAGCATCGCGAAGAACAGTGGACGTGGTCCAGAGCAGGCCAAGGCGAATCGGGGAGATTAGGGGACATGTTTACAGTTGTGATGAGAGGAAGTTGCAAAAGCGCGGGTTACTGAAGAAGGAAGGAGCTACAGGGCGTTGTGCGACCCCGGGAGCAGCGTGATCCGGAGTTCGCACCGACGTCGCACACAGCATCATACACACGCCTAGCTATTGACGTGCATGTGTGCATTTCACCACCACCACCATGGCCACGCACGTCTACTTCGCCATAGTACCTTAGCACCTGGCAGACTGAAATCACCTGATGATCAGGCTAGTGCAAGCTCA